GCACTGGCAGAGTTCCTGTTTACTTGTTTTATGATGGTTGTAACGAGGAAGCCATTAAATTAATAGCCGTGCTTTATTTTTAATGTTATGTTTAGCTAATCCTGACTTACAGTGGCACTCCCCACTCACAAAAAATAAAAATCAAACTCACTATGATGGTGGACTCTGCCATCAAGAAAATGGGTACAGTGGGATGTTCAAGAGGTCACAGAAGGGAAAAAATAACATCCTTTTAATTTTTCCTGAGGGAATGTCACTCATGTCCTCCACTGGTGGCCATTGGCGAGATTAACTCAGACTGTTCAAGGCTAAATAACACAAAAGCTCTGCCCCACTGGCAAGGAGGAGATGCCCACCCAGAGACTCCAGCAGAGCTGCTCACGTACAGATGCACATGTAGAAGGCACAGCTGGAGTGTCTGGGTGACTCCAAATTGTTTTCTGGTCTTAAAACACTGAAGGTAACTTGTTTTTTTTTAATTCTGTAAAGCAGGCAGTAGGAAGTGTACAGGATTGAACTGCATGCACCAGTTTGCCAAAAATGCTAGCACTAGATGGGAATGAAGACAATTTACCCTGCAGCTGTCACCCCAACATCAACTCAGTATTCAAAAAGGATTTTGAAACTAAGCTTTCAGGGGTCCATAAGGAGGTGAATAGATTCCAACTCCTCAAAAAGATCCAAGTGAGCCCAAGGGCTTTGTTTCAATTCACGTCAATTAGCAAACCCGCTCCAAAGATACCAGAAATTATTTTTAAACACACTTTCTGAAATCAAAGGAAGAGGCAAAGTATGATTCAAAATGAGATTCCAGGTCCCTGCTGCCTCTTCTCCTACACTCCCTGGGACAGCAGGCCTGCCATGCAATAGCTCCCATACCGAACAGCACAGGGCAGCAGGAACCAGACAAGTGCTATCAACATCTCGTAGCAAATGGCACAAACAAAATGGCTGGATAAAGCACAAGCCATTCCAATGAGGGCAACCAGGGAGAGCATCTAATTTAGGCCATTCACAAGGGGAAATCAGCTACAGGAGCAGTTTGTTACATAGCCCTGAGGGAACAATTGATTTCAACTTGGAAGGAAAAGTTTGTGTGCTGCTCTCCCTAGGAAGATGACAGAGGAAAGTTTCCTGCCATGCTCTGACCTCTATAAAAAGTCTGAAAAAGAACACGTGTCATTAAATCCAAGACACACTTTTGACTGGGAGCTCTCCTGAGACCAGGGGCTGCTCCATTTGCTTCCTCTGGCTTTGCCCCAGGCTGCAAAACTACCACTCTGCCAGCACAATTACACACCAGAGTGGGAGGTGGAGGGGCAGCACTACCAGCCTGAACAGCCTCAGCTCAAAGGTGATGCAGCCCAATCACTTCAGTCCACATCAACCTTCACCCCCCCAAGGAATCAAGAACAAGGAAAGAGAGGAAAATCCAACACACACCCAGAGCAGAGTGATAGGGCTGACAAGGCAGGTGAGCCAGTTCAGGAATATCACATCCAGCTCTGGACAAGGATAAAACCTGCATGAATGGGAGCAGGTGTGGGGTTACATGTAACAGGACACCGAACAGCCCTTCAGAACCATGCAGCACAGAACAAACATGGGTTCCAAAAAAGGGCTGATAACACTTCAGTGCTGGATGCAACAGCCCACTGGAGGGGCACAAGACAAGAGAAGAAAAAGGTGGTCTGGAAACATATACAAGACTGGCAGTGAAGCACCCGAGGGAGTCAGACACAAACAATTTATCAACAAGTTACAGACAAACACTTTTAACCAGTTTGGAAATAAAAAATAACAATAACTTGAAAGACAAATTGAAAAATTTTGCTTGGGAAAGGAGCACACAGCATGAGATCACAGGACTCAGCAGACTATAAAATAGGAAATGAGACTTACTCTTCTCCCCCTACAGCTACACAAAACCCTCCTACATAGATTACAGACATCCTTGGCAATTGCCTTCCTCCTCCCGCCTCTCCTGTTATGGACAAGGCAGAGAAGGTAGCTGCCTAAATGCAGAGAGGATATTAGATAAAGCATCTTGCAAAGTCAAGTGTGAAATATTAACAGCAGGAGGCAACGGGTTGAGTTTTTATGCAAGATCACAAATTCGGTGCTTGGAGCGCCGGTGATGTTCTTGCACACTGGAATCTCAAAGTGCTGCTTGTTGAATGTTTCATTTACAAAGCTACTGAGGCCTACTAGAATTTTTTTATCAGTTCTGTTATTTCCTGTATCTTCCCTATCTTCTTTGGTTTTGTTCTTTTCCCTTCCTGCAATGCTAAGAAATTATGCATGAATAAAAAGGTTGTTCTTTCCATTCATCTGGCAAGTTTTAAAACAATTCATACCCTTAAAGCAGGCACTCTGCAAGCTGTATTTTCACATGAAATTACCACAATTGTGCACATTGCATCCAAATCACCGGATGCATTTGTACACAAAATTACCCAGCTTGCAGAGAGCTGCAATAAGCAGGCAAGCAAAATGGACATGCACTGCTCAGCTGAAGGGAGCACTGTGCTGCACCTGGCCATAGGAAGGCTTGGTTTTAGTTGGTGAAACAGGTATTCCTGGTCACAAAAGAGCTGCTTTTTATCCAGCACATGCAGCACAGACAGCAGCGTGGCTGGCTGCCTCTGCCCCACCTCAAAGTTGCCTTTGGAGGAAACTGCCTCTAATTCAGCTCCCACAGTAGATTCAGACCTTGTTTATCCTGCTGTCCTAGCTGTCCATTAATGCCAGCTGTGGTGGGAGCAGTGTGGAAAGGACATCTATTCAACACTGGACACCAGGCTCCAGGAATAATGGTCTCTGCCACTCTGGAGCATAACTGACACCTGCTGTCACAATCTTGCACAAAAACAAAATTGCTTTGAATATCCCACAAGCGGTCAAGGAGAAACATAAGGAGAGGGAGCCTAGGAGAAGGTGCAGGGCTTCTTCCTTCTTTTCAAGGGCCTTGGTACTACAGGAGCAGCAAAGATGAGGGGCAAGAAAAAACATTCACTCAAGAAGTTCTGTTACCTGCACATTTTTTACTTGGATAGCAGCTGAGACTCTGCAACTGAACTTCATCTTCAGCAGTTTCCTATTGACATCCCTGGTGATTGTATTTCCCCCCCAGGCTCAGGTATCTGAGCTGGTGATTAGGAAAACAGAAGCAACAAAATTGCTCCTGGGCACTAGGAAACACCAAAGGAAAAGGACTGCCTGAAAGGCAGATGGGGCCACAGTCCCCACGGACATGACCACCAAGAAGTTTGTAAACATTTAGCACAGAGTAAGCTAAAATCAAACCCAACACAGCAGGACAGAGTTTCTCACTTCAAGGCTGTGCCACAACTGCATGTCTCTCCTCAGAAACTTTTGGAGACAGTTAGGCAAGCCAGTATTGAAATGCAGTGACAGGTAAGAGGTGTATTTTCAACTAACAATCAAACAGTCCCTCATCTGGAGGTACTGGATGGCCTTTGAGTGCCACTTTGTCCTTGCTGAGCTGCAAACAGCCGCAATGCACCTCACCAACATTAGCTGTAGCTGCTACATTTATGATTTTATGGCTGATCCCCACCCCCCCACCATCGAGTTCACTGTCTGAATGATCACATCTGTTTATGTTCCACAGACACCTGTGTATCTTGAGATGACAGCAACTCCCTGAATGCTGTAATCAGTTATTTCTCAACAGAGGAATTGCCAATTTGGTAAATAAAGCTCATTATAAAAGAACATGAAAATGTATTACAGTTGCCTAACAGAGAAAATTGCCCAGCGCCGCCAAATAATCAGCCCTGGCATCACAGTCCCCCCCAATTTTGGGGCAACTGAAATAATAACAGGCAAATTGCTCATGCAAGACAATGCTGGATAGGGGCAAGAGGAAAATGAGGAAGAGACAAAATACATACTTTTCTCTTCAGACCAGCAATAATTTCAAACCTAGTCAGGGACAGACCTTGATGCTCTAAATCTCTGCCTGCAGAGTCAAGCTCTGTGGCTATCCCAAGCAGATCCAAAAGCTGGCATGGCAGCAGCAACAAAAACCCACCCAGTCCTGCTCTAAAAGATCTGAGGGCACTAATTGTCCTACTTTGTTTTGGAAAACTTGCTCTTCCTTCCTTAGGGACAGCAAGTTTGACCTACACAAAGATGCAGAGCTGGAATTTTTGCAAGATCTGAGACGAACAGAGATAAGCCATGCGTAAGCAAACATCACTTCTGAGGATGAAAAGCGTTGTGGCATCAGCTCTCAATAAGAAGGAAAGGCATTTTGTTGCTTTAATGGAGATGTAAAGCACTGAGTTGCTGTCTAAAGTAAAAAGAGACGAAGCAGAATATAAGACAGAAACAATTCTCAGCCCCCCTCATCCATTTTCATAAACGCTGCATTAAACTCTGACACGACCTCCAAAAATCCATGTTCACATTCTTCAAAAACTGTCAGATACAGTCAGAGAGGACAGAGGAAGCTAATGCTGCCAGGCAGAGAAGCTGTACCCAGAGAAAAGAATCAGGTTACCAAACTAGACCTGCTCCCCTGGTTTGCTGCCAGGCCTTTTGCAATTCCGCCACACCTACCTCTAGGAGAACAAGATTCCAGATGCATCCAGCTTCCTCCACTCCTCACGCAGCAAGGAGAGGGCTCAACACAGAGCACAAGGATGAAAGGGACAGTGGCTTATGGCAGACACAGCAGGAACTGCACACAAGAGCTTGTGTAAAGAAAGATAATTTGGGCTCTGCAGCCAGCAGGAAAGGTTTTTCCAGTACAATTCCACACCACCAGTTCCCTTCATCCAGGACTTTTTAACCAGTACTTTCAAATAAGCCAGTCATCCTGGGACCAAAATGAACAAGTTTTGTGATTTATAAACTGTGACTTGAAATACTGCTATTCCTCACACTCATTTGAAGTTTTTGTTGGCATTGGCAATAGGCAGAAAACAGCAGTTTACAAACTCATGGGACTGAAAGTATCTCACAGCAAACGGTGACTGTTAAACACTTTATTGTTTAGGAGGGAACCCTGGAAGGGAAGGAATGTGCCTGCTGGTGTAACCAATGGGAGCATGCTAGGAACAGTTAATCCTAACAAGCTACTCAGGGCTACTTCCAAATACTTTGGACCCTTTTCTCCAGAGCAAACAATCAGAGGCAGACTCTTGAAACTCAGATGTTGGTTGGTGAAACCAAAGTTAGTACTGAGTGAACCAGACTTGTGTTGGAGCAAGACTCTAAGCTACAAGCTATGCTGGAAGCACTGGGGTCAACACAGTTCTTTACATTGCAGAACAATGAAAAGAAACGATAGCATTCCCCACTCCTGGGACCCTTCTCCCAACCCCAGGAACTCCACCGAGACTGATACATGCAGACAGTTAGAGGAGGAATCATATTGTATTGTCTTGGTCATCGAGGGCAGAAGGCACCAGTTTTGGTCAGTGTCTGTCCAGAAGGATGCTGGGGCTTCCAAGGGCCTCTGTGGTCCCTGTCCTCTGCTCTTTGGCGGATGATGTTTATCCAGAATTAACTAACAGCTCCTGGGGAAAAAAGGAGATAAAAGAAAAAGGCAGTAAGCTAGTTATGCAGCTTATTGACATGGGAATGTTAACATCAGAAATGGAAGAGTAGCACTGGCAGGGTGTAAAACCCTCAGAAAAATCTTCAGGTTTCACTTACTGTAAAACACAAGATATGCAAGGGGAGAGGACTGTGGAAGCAAGAAAACAGCTCATGATACCAAACATAAGGCTGATTCTGTGACAAAGAGCACATGGTCAGTTAAAACAATCCGGATTGTAAATCTACTGGCCTCCAGTGGGAGAGCACAGCTGTGGCTCCAGGTAAGCCTTGGAGCAGACACTAAGTCCTGCCTCAGCATAGGAGGACATAGAAGCACTTTGATAAGCTGCCACCAAACACACACACACACACAAACTCCCCCTCTTTGCCCATCCTGGAACAGGATCAATATAAGAGCACCAAAGAAGTGAGAAGAAGAAAGATGGGGAGTCAGAGACCACCCTAACTCCTGACATATCTGACAGCCTTTATCCTATTGAGACCCAAGCCCTCCTAAAATTGAAAGCAAAATCACATCTGCTTTGTCCCCACAGAAACCTACTACGTGGTACCTCCTCAGATCCTGCAGGTATCTGCATATGAGCTATGAGCTTCTGAGGGTTATTGTAAGACAGAAAGCTTCCAACATTTTTAGGATGGAGATTGCAAAGTCTGATGTGCTCTATTCCTATTTTTATCTTATCACATCTACAAAGTCAAACAAATCAAACCAACAATACCATCAGCAGTGGATGAGAACACATGACACCAGCTGTAACACCTCTCCCTCTCAGGATCTGAGAAATCAGTGCTGGATCCCACTTCCCAGTGTGGGCAATCAGCTCTCCTGCAGCAGCAGTGGCATGGTGGTCAGTGCTACAGGAACAGCAGGATCACAGAGGATAAGCCCATCAACAGAGCCTACATGTTTCTCATGCTCTGGATACGTGCAGGTCCCTGCTGCAGAGCAGACAGTACTGATCCATGTTCAGAGGATTCAGCTAAAGCCAACTAGACAAAGACAAGTGAACACTTCACTCCATAAAGTCTCATTGCCCATTTTTATTAGGGCTGTATTTGAACTCAGTTCTACTCTGCAGATATTTGCCTTTCTGAGGAGAGGAGCTGTGCTTTCTTCAGCGTGAATCAGAATGGAAAACATCACAAAATAATGATGCTAGCACACTTGGCACTGTCTGTCAGAAGGTGAGGATGTCATTTGGGCTGCTCCTGCACAGCAGGCTGATATGGGCTGATACATGGCCAACTTAATATGCTGGCCTTGAATCTCCAAAGACAGCTCCATCTCTGACAACGATGAACTGGAAAAGCTTCAAAGAACTCCAGAATAAAGAGAAAATTGTACACCAAATTATTTAGACAAAGGTTATGCAGAAATCTGACAAATGAACCATCAATAATACTTCACTGATTCTAATTTCCCAGGTAATTTTTCTCATCATTAGTGACTTAAAAATTGTGCACAGAGCAATATATTTTTAAAACTCCAACAGCACTCACAGAAATTGCAATGAATGAAGCAGTAACAACTCACGATCAATTTTGCAATGAAGTAATTTGCTGTATTCACATTGTAACACTTCAGTAAAGTGTCCAGGAATGCTACATTTTGTGGAAAAAAAGAAAACAAACCAAAATCACTTCTGTGCCTACTCTGTGGTTAACCCTTCTGGAAGACAGTAAAACCTCTCTTTTTAAACACTTTTGAAGAATATCACAGTTACACAATTTCATGTTCAAAATCATAACTACATATTTCAACCTCATCTAGTTGCAGGTGTCTCTATCCATGGCAGAGTTGCTGGGAATAGATGATCTTTAAGGTCCCTTCCAGATAAAACCATTATATGATTCTATGATATTTTAACTTATTTCAGGAGAAAATAAGTTCTTAACCTCAATGAATTCTTTCCAGCCTAACCTACCCACATACCAGGTATGCATTGAGCTGGAGGTTCACAAACATTCCTTGTGCAGAAACATCAGATTCCATCTTACTCTGGATGACTAAACCTCCTCAAAATCCTTTGCACAGTGAGCCTGGACCCAGAACTGATGGGCTGAGGGACACCATAACTCTGAGACTAAACCCACTCTTTGCCCAGCTAGCTTTGCAACCATGCCACTGCAGACTTGGCACCCCTTCATTTTCTCCCAACCTGGAATCCTCTCTGCAAGATGCTACCAGGTTGCTATAGCACTTACCTTGAGCAGAAGGAGCCAGGAAAGGGAAGGAGAAGCTTTACCTCTTCTCCATGCCCTTATCATTGCATATGCACCAGACAAGGTAAATAGGGAACAAGCCCAGGCAGATTGCAATCGCTGCTCTCACCAGACAGGATGCTGCCAATCAATGGAGTTGAGGCTCAGATTGAAAAGATTTTTGTGCCTCCTCAAAATGCCCCAAAATTGACATTAGCTGGTCTCTGCTGCAGTGTTAGCAGAACAAGAAGTCAGAGATGAACAGCCTTGGAGAGTGCATCACACCCTCAGTCTGATGAGAGGGAACAGTGCCCTTCTTGCATCGGGAGGGCAGGTTATTTTTAATGCCACTGCCAAGGCAATCCAGGCAGAGAAAAGGTTCCAGTCTTGATGAGCTCCAGCCCAGCGCCTCTACATATGAAAATAGTGTCCATACAAAGGCTAATTCCTCATCAGCACAAACAGGAATGGCAATCTGTTCAATCCTGACAGCAAGTCCAGCTGGAAGGCACACAGCACTTGTTTTCTTCCATGCCTCTCACAAGCAAATGGGACCTTCGAGCCACTAACTCATGTTCTTCCAGCACTGTGGCACCCTGCTCAGGAGCTAACTGCAGTCAAAACGGGCTGCTTAGCTGACACAGCCTGCCACTTTGCAGCCCCTGAGGGAAAGCCAGTAGCTTTCCAGCTCTGGTTCCAGTTGAGTGAGGAGAAAGGGCTGAGCTCTGCAAGTAGATCTGCTCCACAAATCTCACTCCTGCTCAGCAGGGAGTCCAGTCAATGCCCAACGCAGTTCTTGTCCTCTAACAGAGCTGAGGCCCTGGTACCCAGCACTGGGGCAAGCAAGCTTCAGCAAGATTTTCTAATGCACCTGTTCCTCTGTCCTGTTCCTTCTTTCTCAGTCTGCATCCCAGTGCAGAAGCTCGGGGCTGCCTGGTGGATCTGCAGCATCCTCTCCACCTCCCCCAGTTGCTGGCCAGCTCTGTGCCTCGGCTCTCGGCCTTGCTGGAGGCTCTCAGCCAGCGGAGGAATCTCCCTCCTTGAAAAGCCAGACCCTGAAGAACTTCCTCCCTCAGTGTTTGCCAGAGACGCTGTTTGCCAAGCCTCAGCTGTGTTAAGACATATTTATTTAACCAGCCGTTAGTCTCACAGGGTAAACCCTGCAAGTTCCCTCCACCATGTGCCTTGCCTTTGTTTTAACAACCCTTTAAGCAGTCGCACCACAGCACTCACACATATGGGCACTGTGTAGCTATGAAGAAATCAGAAAGCAGATCCTCATGATAAATGACTTGGTGCATTTGGAGTGTCAGTGACAAAGTAGAAATTAATCTCCATAGTTCCTGCCATGTGCAGGCAGCTCTCAACATCACAATACCTGCTGGCACACAGCAAACCTCAGCAACGTGACCGCACAACTTTTTCATCTCAGTTAGTGTGGAAGGAGGCACAAACAAAATACAAAACTCCTGACCTGCCCTAAGATGAGTGTTCAAGGCCTTTACACTGCATGAGGCATTTGTTGCAGGGCTATTAGCACCCCAAAGCGCTGCAAGGGACGTTTGAGTCACTTTGGTTTGATGTATGCTGTAGGTATTTTTTGGTTATGTGCAATTTGTTCTGTTACACTCAGAGTATTGGCTATTTTGTGGAGCAGCTGTGCTGACTAATGGATCACAGCACTTCTGTGCCATATAGTTATTGCACAGAAAAGCCTTTCTGTCTCTCTCATCCTTCAGGAGTCCAACAGTTGCTGTCCTTGGGACTGGAATAAGGAGGGCCAGGAGCATGCCTGGCAACAACAAAAAACATTAATTCAAAAAGCTATGAAGGGAGTTTTGTTTTCCCTCTTCTCTGTACTGGTGTTAATAGTTTTGCAAAGCAGGGAAGTTCACCCAATGACTTCTTGGCTACTTCCCCAGATGGTGTCTTCAAAGTTGGCTTGACAGCAGAAAAGACGCTTTTCAGAAAACTCACCAGACACATTGTCAGAACACCCCAGAAAGTGCTTTCACATGGAAGTCTCCTGGTCTACACACCCCACCAACAGAGTGCTAGGAACAGAAAGAGTCTTTCTGGTTTCCTCCTCCCTCTCCTTTGGCTCACAAGAGCCCACTGCTTGCTTTGCTCTGCCTTGACACCTCCCCATTGCTCTGCATCACCCAAATACAAAGTTATTTACCAGCACAACTAATCTCCAGCTGTTCTGAGACTCACCTGTTCGTTCATGCATTATAACATTGATTTCCTCCAGACAGTTGTTCTGATCATTGTTCTAACTCGCAGAGAGCTCCCGTCATTAGCCTTGCTTAACAGGAAATATTTTGCCACTGACTGAGCAGCTCTGCAGTCAGCAGACTGCACAAAAAATCATCCTGGTTGGAGGGCTGCATCTCCCTGCTAAGCTGGTAACCCCAGATGTCGCAGTAGGGAACAAGCTCAGTGCTTTTGATTTTGGACATGTGCTAGGAAAGAGCAGGGCCAGGAGGAACAACCACGGCTCTGCAAAGGGCTGCTGCTGAAAGGATGACTGTTAATTAATCCACATACAAACCGAGGGCACTTTTTGCTCAATCGATGTTAATTGCATTTAATCTTATTCTTGCCATTAAGAAAAGCCACCGGGCCAGGCTGATGTCGCTAGCGCCTGACATGTAGATTCCACCCACGTTTGGGAGGCAAGGCAGGAGGAGAAAAATAATGGAAAGAAAGGAATAACCCTTCCTCAACCCCTTCTGCATCACTGCACAATTTC